GACCTACGCCGGCAATGCCGGGAAGGATTTCCCACCTGTGTCCCCATGCCCACCTGGATGCGGTCGGAGTAGTTGTCCAGCAGGAGCACCCCAAGGCTGGTCACCTTCTTGGTCTCCACCATGGTTTTCAAATCCGCCAAGAGGTTCATGTGCTTGGACATGTCCGTGGCCAGCACCTGGGCAGGGCGAGGTGGGACCAGGGCTCAGTCTGACACCCCCACGAAGCCCCCCAACCCAAATCCCCCCTCCTCAGGGTGGTCTGACCCCCCGCCCGTACCATGTCGATGACCATTTTGCGCAGTGACTGCCTCTGCTTCTTGCTCAGGTTTTGGAAGATGTCGCAGTTCTCCTCCTGGAGAAGCTTGAAGCCCACGGCCAGGTGATGGTTCTCCAGCACCGAGGCGTCGTTGTACATCAGCGCCAGCTCTGAGTCTGCAAGACAGCACCGGTCACCCTGGGGTGGCTCCTGGGGGTCCCCACACCCCCCCCAGCTCCATCCCTGCACCCTAGCTCACTGGTGTTGATGAGGAACTGGTTGGAGACACCGGGATGGTCAACATCATGGATGGCACTGGCGAAGATGGCAGCCATGATCTCCAGGTCCGTGAAGACAGCCTGGGAGCAGGGGAAAAAGGCATTGCAGATGCGTTACAGCCCAGCCAGACACGCGTGGTGGCCTTGGTGGCCTCAGGGGACCAAGGCTCACCTCCAGCGCGGGCGTGGAGAGGAGGACGTGGGTGGACTGAGCCACGTCGGCGGCGTGGATGTTGTTGTGGTAGGACATGTCGGCGTGGTAGTGGTCCTCCAGCGTCAGCATGTAGGTGATGAAGGTGTCGACGGGGATGCGGAATGTCTTCATCAGGTCACGCTCCTGCAGGGAGGCGAGAGGTGGCTCGTCCCCATCCAGGCATGGGGACAGGGCTGGGGACATCCTGCTGGGACGCTCACCTGGAAGATGCTGTACATGATGACCGTCAACGGGCGGTTGCCCGAGTACTCGGCAACTTTAAACACATTGAGCCCCCACTTGTTGGTGTCCTCCAGCTCCTGGGGACCAGAGGGGACAGATGTCCATGCGGCACCACCACTGTGGACCCCATGGCCGGTCTGGGTGACCCACGGT